GATTTTTCCTTCTTTTTTTAAAGATGTTTACCTTACCATCATTTTGGAAATAATCATTAGTGTATTACTTCATCGTTTTTTCTTATTTTTAAGATTATTTCCAAATATTTTTTTTTAGTTGGGTTTAACAATAAAAAACGGCTTTTTGTAGCGATTCAGAAAACCAGAAAAATCAGTTATCCGGAATGGCGATGGTCCCGACCGTTCCAGATAATCGGTTCCCTACTGTACCATGCAATTTTTCATTGGAAAACTTTGATTTTTCTTTTTTATAATGTCAAATATTATATTTTGAGAGCAGAAAAATATCATTGAATGAGGATGGAAACTTGGAAAAGCTTATTAAAAAGTGAGTTTTTATAACAAATAATAGTAATAGATGTTAGAATTATTTAAATAACTGATAATTGTTTCTGGAAATTCTAAGACTGGTTATTTTACAGGTATTATATTATATGGGAATTTTACAGGGTTGCCACTCCACAGGGAAAACCTGGAAAATACAGGGAATTTAAAAATCACCTAAAATAACAGGGAAATTTGTTTCTATCTTTTGTCTTTTAAAAAATGGTGACTACTCAAAGCGTAATCTATAGGATATTTAACCATGATATTTCAGCTATACTAAACTATTTCATTTACTATAGCATTATTTAAGTATGTTCAGCTGTTTTTCTAGCAATTAAAACTAATATATATAGTTAGCCCACTATAGCTCACACAAGAGCTCAGTAATTGTTGTTTCCTCTTAATATATTGCTTATAATATGTACAGGGAAAACACAGGGAATTTTTTTTTCAGATTTGAGTGGCAACCCTGAATTTTTTTTTTGGTTTTTAAGTACTTTATTTCAGAAATATAGTCATGTAAAACTTTAGTAGCATATGAACAATGTGTAATACTTTTTGGATCTTTATTTTGGTGTAATGTGATATTTGAATAATACTTAAAGTGTAAAAACTCTAAGCAAAGATTTATGTATATTTTTCATAAAATATCATAAATAAGTTATGAATATTAAGTTTTACTACACCTGATGTTTTAGGGAAATGAAGTTTAAATATACTTATTGAACTGATAAAGTATATTTTGTTTTGTTAATCCAATTAATAAGATTGATTTGGAAAAATTTTTTAGTAAATTCAATGCTATGATTTTAAATCTAGTTGGTTAGGATATAGCAATCACACAAATATATAATTTATCTGAGCTGAACTTTAATATAATTTACCTGAACTGAACTTGAAAATCATTAGATACAAATCACAAGATATTTTAATTCAAAAAAATATTTAATTTGGAGAAATATTTAACTAAAACTCAATGTTATAAATTTGATTAAAATCTCAAAACAATTTTAATAATTAATATTTTAAATGGAATTGAGAATTGAATTAATGAATTAAACTTATATTTAGTTTTTAAATAATAACTACCTCTTGCTTAATTTTCTTGTATTCTAAAGGTTAAATAATGTTTTGCTCATTGTTATTGTTTCTAACAAGGTACGAAAAACTAAACAAATTGTCAAGTGATTTTTGAACTTACATTACAAAATTTAAATATGAAATTTCTGATTCAGTTTTATCACTTACGTTATATTTATAGAAAAGAAATAACAAATTTAAGATATCTTAAGCTTGTTCCGTATGCTTATTCATTACTTCTATTGCATTCAGTTTGTACCATTGCCTTGAAGGGGAAAAAAAAAAATTTCTTTAAAGCCTTAATGAAAATAGACCATTTCTCAACCTTCCCTTAAATCACTTAGCCTAAAGTTTACATTGATGTTTAATGTTTATTTTATATTCAATGCAAACCTTTCTGCGACAATGTACTTGTAGTTTTTAATGTTTATTTTTTGAAGATATTATAAAATTTCAGAACTAAGAGCAAGAAAAATTATTGCTACATGCTTTAAATTGAACAAAAAATGATAAAACCCCTGATTTTGGGTATTTTTCCAAGGCAAGGGTAAATATTTATAAATACCCTACCTACTGGATATTGATCTGACTGACATCCTTAATTCTGCATGATTCTAATATGTTAAATAACCTGTAAATGTATAGTGTATAAAAATAACAGAATAACCTCGGGTTTTATGTCAGATTTCGACAGTTTTTGCCAGGTCTTATCAAAAATAAGTTTTTGACATCAGAATCCCAACCCTGTGTTAAATATTTTTTTTTTTTNGTTTACCATAGCTAAATATTTTTCATTTTTTTTTTTTTTAATGAAAATAATTGTTATGAACTTTTTAAATTTTGCTGCTGTATTAATGCAGAAACAGAATTACAATAAATTTGAGTTTTATAAGTTTGTAAAAACTTCAAAAAAATTAAATTGTAAATATTTTTTTATTATTCTGCGAAATTTTTTTATAATGCTTTGTAAAATTTAAAGACCTCATGATGCAGTTAATAAAAGAGTAAAAGAGCTTTTTTTTAATTTATTTATTGGCATTGCTTTTGCTCCTGCTGGAAACACAATAAAATATTTCAACCTATTAGTTCGAAATTAGCTTGTATACAATTGTATACTCGATCACAGTGCAAAGTATGTCAGACATTGACCCTTAGTCTTAAAAATTTGGTGTCTAAATCATTTAAATATAAACAGGGCTGAGTGCAAAATTATTTTATTACACCATGTTATACGTGCCTGCCAATTAGTTTATCTTCATTGTTGTTAATCCAATAAACCCTTCCCAGGAGAGACACTTGAACGAAAGTTTTGTCTTCGGCAGACGCTTCTTCTTTCATTCATCCCAAATGAATATTCTGCGTTCAGCAGTATAGGCTAAATACCAAATATTTGTGTGTTGCATCTCTAATTTAGTAGCAGTAATATTATAATTTTACAGTGTTGCATTTGTATTAATATGAAATCATAATTTTTTTTTTTTGTTAATAAATAAATGAACAATTTATAATTATTCATAAAATTAATCACTTGGCTAATATGTGAATAAAAATTCATATCTGGCAATTTTTTAAATAAAATTTTATAAATTTAAGAATTGTTTAAGTTTACTAAATGCATAACTCATTAAAAGTGATACATTACTAAGTTGTGTTATTTAAAATATGTCAATTGAAATTATTAAAAATGTGAGTGATTTGTTGCCGTTATTCGTCTGAAATGAATATTCTGTGTTGAGTAGTATAGGCTGAAAACCAAATATTTGTATGTTGCATCTCTAATTTAGTAGCAGCAACTGTTGAGCAGAATCTTGTATCTAATTACAATTTTAAATCTCCCTGAAAAAGTTTTTTTTGCAATAACAGGACCCTATTAGCACAAATTCACAAAAGCAGGACCCTGGTTGAAAGAATGTGACTTAATGTTTATTTTATATTCACAAATTACGAGTAATTTTGAACAGGACCTTTCACAAAATGTCTGGACAGACTTCTGTTCTTTCTAACACTGTTTCAAGTACATAATTTTTGTTATTAATTTTAATGATTTAATTTTATTTTTTCAGGACAAAATATTCGTAAGTTGATTAAGGATGGTTTAATTATTCGCAAGCCAGTTGCTGTCCATTCTCGTGCACGTGTACGCAAAAATAAGGAGGCGAGGAGGAAAGGTCGTCATTGTGGCCCGGGTAAAAGGAAAGGTACTGCTAATGCTCGGATGCCCCAGAAAGTAGTGTGGATTCGTCGTATGAGGGTTTTAAGAAGACTGTTGAAGAAATATAGAGAAGCCAAAAAGATTGATAGGCATTTGTAAGTTAATTTGCTCCTGATGTTTGTGGCCACTGGGTTTATAATTTTTTCTTAACTGTAAGAAGCAAAACAGTTGCCACTAAAAGAAAAAATCAACACTGAATTTAATTTTTGACCAATTAATACTGTCTAGTGTAGTGTTATCAGAATTTTCAGAAACTTAAACTCACTTGCACCGAAATTTACCTTTACTAGATAATGGCCTGCATATTAAATCACTCATTTGGTTATTTTTTCTTTTTAAAAAAAATTTCCTTATTTTATTGATTTATTTTCCTTTAAAAATGAAAACAGAAATAACAGCTAAGACTTTCAGCATGTCAATATACTAAAGGTGGAAATACTAACTCAAGCTGAATTTTTTTTATGTTATCATATGTTCAATTAACCCTATTTATCAGGACATTTGAAGGAATTCGCAAGGCTTACAAAAATAAGATTAATAAAAATCCTGACGCCATTCTTTTATTGCAGTGTGACATTACTTGATCATTTCGCTATTGAAGAATGTGAAAAGTAGCAATCTTTTCATTAAAGTGTAATTCTTTTATTTTTAGCAAAAAAGTTTCATTTTTAAATAAAGGAAATTTGATTTAAAAACTAATTGGGAAGACAAATTAGTTGATGGAATATTTCTTTATTTTCTTATTCATTCGGTCTCCAAAACTGATGAGTAGAAAATATATTCAAGGCAGGGAGGGAATATATTAGTTATTAATTAGCAGTAATAAAAGTAAAGCAAAACGCTCCCAATATTTTACTCAACCAGTGTAATAGTTAACTTTATGATGATCATAAGATTGTACTGTGCATAAAATGGATGCTGCAATAATGGATTACTTCACTTGCTCCGATTTTTACTTTTTGGTGGATCTGAGATAAGATGCTAGCTTAGGTCACAAAAGAACTTGCTCTCTCCATCGAAGCTTGCCCCCCCCCCCCCTTTTTTNNTTTTAAAATTTTGGTAACCCCCCCTTTTTTTTTTTTTTTATTATTATTTGAATTGAGCCTCAAGATATGGGGACGCAGCTGTCTGAAAAATATAGTTCAGATGACAGCAAGACAATAAAGTAATGCTTGATTTGGATTTAACTTTATTGTTCTTATAAACGAATGTTAAGGTTACACATGCCATGTAATAGAGCTTTGTTTGAGGCAATGATATAATACAGTTTATTCCCTAGTTGGTACTTTTTAAAATTGTTGTGGGGTTACTCCAAATAATTGCTTGTTTTACTTACTGATGAGTTAAGATGACGTTACTCTACTGAAACTTTGGTCAAGCTGACTGTTACCATGGAATTGTATCTATTCTACCAAGTTTATTTTCAGCTTTTGTTTATTTAATTTCTTTGGTGATTTGAGTCATATTTTTCTAATTTTAGAAGATGAAGGTAGATCTTATCTGATTTTGATGCTACTTTTAGAACTATCTTCATATTTACGAAATATTGTGGTATTGATCTCTCGGTGATTATTACAGTATTAGAAAGCCAGCTTTTCGGGATAATTGGAAGTTTTTAATAACTGCTTCCTCTAAAAGTTTGTTTTCACAATTGATTAATGATTGGCTTGAGTTTTTTGTTACAATTTTTGAGCAAAGTGCATTAATTATCGAGCAAAAAAACACTGAATAATTTTCAGCGGGTGACTTTATTTATGCTTGTTAAGCATATATTGCATCTGAGATAGCTAAACTATTAGAAATATTTAGACTACTATTTAGTTGACCAACGATATACAATTTGCTTATATGAATGGAGATAAATAGTGAACAATAAGTTCATAGCCGTTTAAAATTATTTAAGAAAATAATGCTCTAAATAGTAAAAGTTCTAACCATTAAAATGTAAGGGAAATATATAAGTTTTATGAAAACATAGTTAGCTTCTATTAGCTTGTAAAAGAACTTAAAGGTTAATTTACGCAACTAGTTACAAATTTTAGATGTTGTATTTTGTCCATTCAAGTACAGATATATTTTTGTTCTTTTAGGTACCATGAACTTTACATGAAAGCTAAGGGTAATGTATTCAAAAATAAGCGTGTACTCATGGAATTTATTCACCGAAAGAAGGCTGAGAAATCAAGAGCTAAGATGTTGTCAGATCAAGCTGAAGCAAGGAGGCAGAAGGTGCGTGAAGCCCGTCGCCGACGTGAAGAAAGGATACAACAAAAGAAAGCAGAATTATTGCAAGCCTTCCAAAAGGAAGACGATTCAGCTGATTTTGTTCGAGGAAAGAAGGAAGAGGAATCCACAAAAAAATAGATCCCTGTTGTACATGATTAATAAAACGAGTATTGTCTTTAAACGGTGTTTTTTTATCTCTATATAATCACATATTTTTAACTTCCATTTCAATCGAACAAGACTTAAGTACTGAACTTTCTGTACTGGGTTCTTGTGCGACTGCTGCTTTTTTTGTTTCACAAAAAAAATTCATAATATTTAGAAACAAAATTTTAAAGTATGAAGTGAGGAACTTCCACTATTTTAAATGCTGCAAAAAATTTGTCATTCCAAGAAGTTCAGTTATCTCAGTTTTGTTATGTGAGTGTAGTGACCATATAATTTACGTATCTTTATAAATTTGGTATGATCAATAATATTGTTTTATCGAATATGCTTTTATAAATTATTTTAAGTCTAAATATATTTTTGAGTGCTTAAAAGGTGCCTTTTTTGTTGTAAACAGGATATCCGCGCACCTGAATCGTAAATTTCGCTATTGAACAAAATTTGTCATGATTTTATCTATTTTCTAAAAAAAAGTCATGGATTTAGGTCTCTGAAAAATCTTTTTTAAAATTTAATTTAATAATCTGAATTTGCTATAAAATATTTTTATCGTGTTCTTTAACAGTTATGGTGTTCTTTCAAAAAGTGAAAGAAAAAGCATTTCTAGAGCGAATTATCTTTTATTAACTTCTGTGATTTCAGAATTTTTGTTATTTATTTTATTTAACTTATAATTCTAGCTGAAGCAAGCCAGTAATTGGCGAATTTTTTAAAATGAGGACAGAAAAATCGGGAGTATTTCTTTCTTTTCGGATGAACAAGAAAAAGTATCATAAAATGTAATTCTGCAGAAAAAAATTTTTTTTTTGCTTTTGTATTTTTTTTTCCAGCTATTTTATTGCTTCATCTCTTTCTTTACTCTTGCTTTTTTTTTTAAATATGACGATGCAGAGTCTGGCAGTTTTGGTTATGCCTATCATTTCAATTTGTTATAATATTTTAAATTTCTTGTCTTACTACATTCGGGTCTGGTTACAAGGTTCGTTTATTTTTGAGTGCTCGAAACGTGTTGATTTCTATTACCATCAAGTATACTGAATTACATTTGGGTGTTGATCAATATTTTAAGCATCTTTCTTTAACTATAGAATTAGTGCCAAACCTTAAGATTTTGTTGCCGGGTATATTAGTCGTTGTTGAAATTGATTTATCAATCGTGCTGAGAATAAATTCATTTATCTTTGAAGTTTTGTAAAAAGACGCGATATATATAAAACTTAGTGAATATGTACACTGCTCAAAAAAATTAGGGGAGCACATGGTTTTAATGAAATTACGCAAATATTTACACCGATAAGTAACAGAAAAGTAATCATTTATGATGTAAGACCAAGCAGGAAAAAGAAGAAAACTTCATATGCAAATAAAAGTTCATGACGTCACAAACCAGAAAAGAAGATAAGAGCAGAAATCGGGATGTAGCAGAGACGTCTGTTTCACTGCCGTTACTCAGAAAGTTGATTTCTCAGTTATTGTTTTCGAGAAAGGGTGACTTGAAAATGTCTCAACGTGATTTACCTGAATCTATTGCATGGCGCATCATCGGCAGACTGGAATCCGGGCGAACACAACGCAGTATGGCGGACGTTGTTGAAGTCAGCAGAAGTGTTGCAAGACTGTGGAATCGATTCCAAGAGACTGGAAATGTGAGTCGTCGGCCACGTGCAACAACTGCAGCTGATGACCGGTATATACAGTTAACAGCTCGTCGTAAGAGAACAAACAATGCTACTCAGCTGCAAAGACAGTTTCTCGTGGCAACAGGACGAAGAGTTTCCGCCCAAACAATACGGAATAGGCTCCATCAGGGAGGTCTCAATGCCAGTAGGCCCATGGTCTGCATTCCATTGACCTGAAGCCACCGTGCGGCTCGCAGAGGATGAGCTGCTGAACATCAAGATTGGGAGCCACGTATTGTTTACAGACGAGTCTCGATTCAATCTGGAGAGTGACACCCGACGTGTTTTGGTGTGGAAGGAAATGGGCACTCGAAATAACCCCACTTTCATTCGTGAAAGGTCACACTACAGACGAGCTGGTTGGATGGTGTGGGGTGGAAGCATAGGTGGACGTCCTGTATATCATTCGGAACGGTACTTTGACGGCCCGCAGATATGCAGACGAGATATTGAGACCACATGTCATACCCTTCGCAGCAGCCATTGGAGATTCCTTTGCTTTACAAGATGATACTGCGAGACCACATACAGCTCGTCTTGTGGAGAACATGCTGGAAGCTGAAACAATACAGCGTATGGAATGACCAGCGCGCTCTCCTGACCTGAATCCAATCGAGTATGTTTGGGACGTGCTCGGGCGACGCATTGCTGCGAGACCAAGGCCTCCATTAACTCTCCGTGACTTGGAGATTGCCCTTCTTGAGGTGTGGAACTGTATTCCCCAAACTCTCATCGATACCATCATCGCATCCAAGGGAAGCAGGTGTGCAGTAGTCTCAGCTATTCGAGGAGACCATACGCGTTATTAACAGTACTGCATCATTTCCAATCGTTACTTTTTTATAGTTTGCATGTAAACCAATTGTTGCCTTAAATCGGCTATTTGTTTTTTTTCCATAGTTTCCATGAATTTAAGCTTAATTCCATATGTTTTTTCGTCTTTTTTTCTGTATCGCGCATTAATACGTATGCGCTATCCATTTCATGCAGCTCTGTGGATGTCTCGCACGATTTTCTTACTTTCTTTGCTTGCTCCCCTAATTTTTTTGAGCAGAGTAGTTATAATCTATTCCAGATACTGTTTTTTTTTTATTCAACACCAGACATTTCCCACGTAGATTAACTCACATTTGATATGTGTAAAACGAAATTCCCGTGGCACGTTTTTTTTGGATTTTTTTTCCAACTGAGAGGCATATATCTGAGTACTTGTCGGATACTATTGTATCTTTTCCTAATGACCCTGGTATAAATATAAGTGATAGTCAATGACAAACATAAGATAAAGTACCAAATATGGGAGGCAAGGTTAAAAGAGAAATGTTACGCAACTTTTTTACCATATCTAATAGCTTGAACTTAATTCGTGGACGAGACGCGTCTAAGAGGATTATTTCCAATTTTTACAGAAACTTAGCTCTTTTTTTTCGCCAGTTCTACCCATCGGCGGAATGCTTAGAATCTGGACTAATCGTAAAGCGTCCTTCGGATACTACGTGGTCCACCCATTAGAATAAAGAAGAGCTTCTGTAAACTGGACTCTATAGAGCATATATGCTACTGAAGAAGCTGGAAAATATTGTGTAAACAGAATTTTATGGTGATGTGTTATCAAGAACAAATAAGCGTACGGATAAAAGGTTTTCCTTTCGATGATGGTCTGAAATTAATTGAAACCTTGATTGGTTTTCTCAGTGGACAGAGAGAAAAGTTCTCTACTCATGAAAGACCATTTCCAAGGAAAATTTACCTAATTTTAAATATGAAGATGAGGCGAAGTACTTCACCAAAGATTTCTCGTTTAACACTTTATTATGAAATATTTAAAGTTAAGTTTATCTTTCATTAATCGACACATTAATTAGTCAATTAAAATCTCTTTCAATGGCGTAGAGCAAAGCTCTGGTGACACTCGGGGACCGATCAAGACAAATTCAGGAACAAGGCCCACCAAATTTTTCGGGCCCCTTACAAAATAATTTAAAACTAAATTACTGAAGAGTAGTCCTAATAATAAAAAAGAATCTATTGAACTGCATGATTCAAAAGAATTCTAAGAAATTCATCTAATTTTAAGAAATTTTGAAAGCAGGCAATTGAAGATTATTTTTCTAAGATAAAGTTTGCATATCTATAAATTAAAGGCAAATATGAAACAACAAAACAATGCTATATCAAAATAAAAATAGTTTGGTGACCACAAACAATTGAAATCAGTAATTTTTGCTGAAAGTCACTATGATTAGCTGAATTATTTATTTAGTACTTAAACCAACACAAAGCTACATAATTTTTGAGGCCCCTCAGAAATTGTGGGCCCATGCCTATTGTGCCTAGGTAATAATCAGGCTCTGAGTGATACTTCGCATGCTGCTTTTATCATTAGCGTGTAGAGAGTTGTAGAAAATGACGTTAGTTTTTGTCCTGTTTTTCAAATGAGATTAAAAACATTTAAGGTAGAAACTATTTGGAACTGAGAACTAGATTGATAATAGTTCTGAAAGAAAGCGGCTTGGAAATTTTAAAAATTATTTTTGACTGTTAAATACGAAAAATATTAAGAAAGGGGAAAATGTAGTACATCCCTATACAACTGGGAAGGGTCAAGACATGGAACCGCTCTTCTCCCCAGATACCGTTTTCGAGCGTTCACGTATTCTTAAGCAATATACATAGACAAAAACTGTTAGGCAGCACTCGGATTGCAATATGCACTTAGTTATTGATAAAGTAAAGCAATATGCGGAATAGTTTACAATTGCAATCCCGATATATGCAATACAATACTAACTTCTCTAAAAACTACCGTTTTTTTTAGAAGGAAGTTTTTTTTTTTTTTACCTGGAAGTTGCCACGACTTGGCGATTGTTTTGCCACAGATCACGGTTACCCGAAATACAGTTGTCCAGTATACCTCACTGATGCTTTTCTTTCTTTCTTTAAGGTTAAGTGCCACGTGTGGTATAGGTTTACCTGGTATGCTCTACATTGATGTTAAGAGCCACTGCCCCGTATACTACAACAGCGTAACATTTAAACAATATTATTATTTTTTCTTTCGACTAAAATTGAGTGATTTGATCAAATCTTCTCTAAAACTTTCTTTAGAGAAATCACCTCACGCAGTTTTTATTTTAACATCTTCCGTGGAGCATCATCTCGTGTACCTAAGAGATTTATCAAATCACCGTTTTTAATCGCTTTTGCGAAATAAATGTGTTAAAAGTAAATAACAGATGTACACAGTTCCCAAAGTGCAAAACATATCACCCAAGATTACTTTTGCTCTAACGATCAGATTTTCATCAACTAAGTACTATCAATTAAGTCATTG